GTTATTTTTACTGAATAAACATACATGAGTAGATATATTTATTAAACAGAACATTTACATATTTTTCGTTTATGGGCCTGAATATTGGAGGGATATACTTAAAGAAAACATTTCACACTCCGTCATTGCTCAAATATTCGGGCCGAACGCATATTGTTTAATTATTTAACGGGACTTCTAGTCTATTACGAGTATCGACTAAAAAACGTTTAAATGGAGAGAAAAAACTATACCTTTGTCACGATAAATAAACAATCACGTCTACACATGGCAGATTACATTTGTTTTCGTCAGGTAATTTGATTGCACGATGGAATTTATTTCCAGAAAGAATATTTATCTTAAAAGATGTTAATTAATTTACTTAATTACTAGATGTAATCTCTGCGAAAACTCTGATAAGAGAAAACACCACTTATTACTACGCACACATTATATATATATATATATATATATATATATATATATATATATATAATATATATAATATAAAAGTTTCAAACACTAATATTCCATGGTTATAATTTATTACATTAGAATCGTAATCACGATCCAATTCATCAGACCTACAAATTCAAAAGGATACAGAAATATCGTTTTGAATTTGTAGGTCTGATGAATTGGATCGTGATTACGATTCTAATTCTAATGTAATAAATTATAATCATGGAATATTAGTGTTTGAGCCTTTTATATTATATTCTTACTCTGTACTGTACATTGAGCTCTACCTGGATTCTATCCTCTTGGAAATATATATATATATATATATATATATATATATATATATATATATATATATTTTTATACAAGCAACATACAGATAATTTTACAAAATTAAAATATTATGCTTTATATAATATATACGAACATAAAAGTATCATATACTCAACAATGTATCAAAAGTAAAATTATGGAAAATATAATATTATTTTCTAAAAAACACATTACAACCAAAAACGTTTGCGGCACCTCTCCTCACTTCTTTTTTATATATATATATATATATATATATATATATTATAAATATATATATATTCAAATGAGAAAAAAGAACAGATGAAGTAATCTCCGTTTGTTCAATTTACTTTTTAAAAAGTGCTCAATACAAAGTAGAGCAATATCTCATTATTATTGTTATTATTATTATTATTATTATTATAAGATGTCATAACAAAACATGTTGAAATCGCTACATAATAGCTTTTGTGTTTCGGCCCTACTTTGTAAATTTTCAGGTGATGGTAAACTTAAGGCTCATTTACACAATAGCTACTGTGTAGCGATTTCAACATATTTTTGTTAGAATATCTTATAATAATAATAATAATAATAATAATTATATATATATATATATATATAAACAGAAAAAGGGAAAAATGACGGGGCGACGAAATATTTCTTTGGGTGTAATATACATTGGAGTATATATCATAACAGTATATTTATATTTATTTTATTTTCGTCCACCTGCTCGAATATTCGAGAAATCTTTTTAAAGAAAATATGTGCTGCTGTCCGGATGGAATCGAAGCATCTTCGTGGACAAGTCCGTAAAGGCACGTAGGATCAAACGATGTGTTCTTTCTGTTCAGCTTTTTATGACGTACAATAAATCAAACCCATCCTCTCTCTAACATCCACTCAATTCCTCTCTTTCTCTCTCGCTCTCTATATATATATATATATGTTTGTTTCTATATATATATATATATATATATATATATATATATATATATTTATATATATGTATGTGTGTGTGTGTGTGTGTGTGGCTGTGTGACAGAGAGCGAGAGAGAATGTGAGTAGGAGAAAGAGACAGTTTGTGTCGCTGACTATATGTATACACCCACACACATTCGGAGTTTTTTTCATTTCTCTTAGAGATATAATCTGCTATAAAACCCTTGACTTTGAACCCAAATTATTTCATTGACGTATTTGCAAATGTAAATAACATTCATACACCAGACAAACGTCACCTAAAAAATAAACCGAGTCATATTAGATATGCACACATGTTTGTATATGTGTGTGTGTGTGTGTCTGTGTGTGTGTGTGTGTGTGTGTGCGCGTTCACGCGCATCTTTCGTACACTTAAGCGCATAACTTGATGGTAAATTGCTAATGTTATACATTCATACATCTATTCCTACATACATATATATATATATATATATATATATATATGAATAACTTCAGAAATCACACACCTGTGAGTGTCTTTTTCCATTTTATACTCTTGTGGTACTTCTTATTTCTTTTTTTAATTATTTGCAATTCAAAAAATTATTTTATTTTTTAATCGCGTTCCAACTTTCCCTCCTCTTTCGTTATTATAGTTGTGTCTTTGATTCTTCATATATATATATATATATATATATATATATATATATATATATATATTATATTTTATTATAAGAGATTATAATAAAAACATTTTGAAATCGCTACAAAAAAATCTTTGATGTTTCAAAACTGTGATTGTGTTTCTTCAGACGATGGTACGTAACTCGTGATTCAATGATTTTTTAAAGGAAATTTAAAAACAGAGTGTTACCTTTTTTCCGAAAGTTAAAGGCGGGGGTCATAAGGTCAGAATTAAAACGAGACTCGTGTGTACGTCCTGATTAACCAATGAAATGCTCATTTAATTGGTTAATCAAGATATTGTGTTCTTGATATTCACTTACACGCAAATACCCTTGGTAAAGGTATGAATCATATTAAATAACTAAAAAAACTTTTTTTTAACCATTCCCCAACCCAATTCAAGGTGATAATGCCACTATGACGCAAGGGGTTCAAGGAGTGAAAAAGAAAACTTTCGAATGAACAGGAATCTTAAATCTACTCCTGTTCAAAAGACGGGAAGGATATGTAAACAGAGCGATAGGTGAACATATCTACGCTTATTTAGAAAAAAAGTAAACTTCGTTCAACGAAACATATATTAAAGAGGAATTGCTTCCAAAATACACAACCATATATATATGTGAACTCTCCCGTCGTATACGACGTATGAATGTCGAGCAGCTCAGTTCCGACAGCCAGACACCAGCACATATGATTTGATTATAGTGGTAAAGGCTGTGTCCAGAACCAACCACACATTTTGAAGGGCCGAATACAGAAACCAGGTGCACTTCCTGCCATAAGGCCCCCAAACGACCCCCGCATGTTTTGAATTCAGAGTTGTCCTTCTCCTAGACCAGTTGCCATCCAAGGTTATAGAACCCAGTCTGTGCTGCTATTTACCCATAGCTGGAGGGAGAAGAGGATTCACACCTTTCCCAAGGGTATTCTCACGTAAGTTAATGGTATGGTTTTCAAGCACTTTCCAAGGGTGCCTCAAGCTAGGATCGCCCCCTCTAGACCGATAACATCAGGAAGTCTTCTTCCTGACAAATCAGTTGTGGTGAGATTCGAACTCGAGTTTCATAGTAGGAAAGCGAACGTTCTAATCACTCAGTCACGTATGTATATGCATGTGTGTATGTGCGTGTGTGTGTGTATCACAGAGAGAGATAGAGAGAAATATCTGTGGAAGATACATACGTAGAACGAGAACTAAATTCTTGATGATTCTTCCCATGACATTCAGAGGATTCCGACTGACATAATGGATTCTTTGGAGCATATTTAAATTGAGTGAGTATCAGCCTTGGCCATCTCCATTTCGCAAGACAGGTAGTACAGAAATGCTGACATGTTTACACAGATTACCATTCAACTTCGAGCAATACCATTGATGCGACCCATTTCAAAATATGGTATAATGAGACAGAACGCAGTGAGTGATGGCTTCATGCCCCACCTAAATGCAAAGTGAGAATACACTGCAGCAGTGAATTCCAATTTCTGTTCTTAAATTTGTAAAAAGAAAACGACACGCACAGACACATAGACATACATACATACATACATACATAAATAATAATAATAATAGCTGCCCATAGCTAGCTAATCCCTATTGCAGACGCTCGCTCTTGAACATTTATGTTTGTTCAACACCCATGACAAGATGGCGGTTTAGCTGAGACTGGGTGTCTGTGGAAGGAGTAAATCTTCAACATAGACATACATACATACATAAATAACAATAATAATAATAGCTGCCCATAGCTAGCCAATCCCTATTGCAGACGCTCGCTCAGGAACATTTATGTTTGTTCAGCACCCACTGGGCCTACTGAAACTGATATTGCAACTATGCTAAGCAGACCTTTGTTACAGTTTCTGGGAGAGAGCGTGTTATCTAGCATGATCAACAATCTGAACACAGCTGATTTTTGAGGAAGAAGACTTCCTGGTGTTATCGGTATGGAGGGGAGGATCCTAGCGTGCGTCACTCTTGGAAAATGACTGAAAGCCATACTACGTGTTGACCTAAGCCAAGTGAGTGAAATTGGGGAGACGGAACACTTGGGAGCCGTCGATAGCTGTGCTAGCACGAAGTCACAAGTCATCGTGACCGAGGGTTTGAGTGTGCTGGCCTTTTTCAGATCACGCTAAATAACACGCTGTCGCCCAGAAAATGTAACTAAGGTCAGCTCAGCATAGTTGCAGTGTAAGTTTTAGTGGGCTCTGTGGGTGTTGAACTAGCACAACTGTTCCTGAGCGAGCGTCTGCAATAGGGATTGGCTAGCCGCCCTAGTAGACGGGGGTTTCTTCAAGTACGTGTGGCCAGCTATTATTCTTATTACAGATAGATGAGCATATTGTAGTATCTGTTCCGGTAGACCATGACGAGCCAAGACCAACATTTTGACCAGTTACATTAGTGTACGCGCTCGGATACCTCACATTAAATAACTGACTTGGTGTCGTATCCTAACTCAGTGGGGTGTCTGGTAAATACCTGTAGATAGATAGATAGATAGATAGATAGATATTTTCACCAGTAAAGATCATAGAATTCACATCCCGGTACCTCAGTTGATTGTAAAATCTATAAACTTCTCAATAGCTCTATAGTATGCGCTTTGACAGGGTTACAGTTAAGATAGATAGATAGATAGATAGATAGATAGATAGATAGATATTGAATGGACAGGGATAGATAGATAGATAGATAGATAGATAGATAGATAGATAGATAGATATTGAAGGGACGGGGATAGATAGATAGATATTGAAGGGACGGGGATAGATAGATAGATCGATAGATCGATAGATAGATAGATAGATAGATAGATTTTATTCAACTTTACTCGAGATAAAAGATTCTACAACCGAAAATTGCAATTAACTCTGTACCATAAACTTTTCGATAGCTCTATAGTATCTGCCTCGACTGGGCTGCATTCGTTTTTTAATTTTTTTTTATTTTAATGTTTTCCTTTTCCTAGACTGATTCCCAAACACGTACTGCTATTGAATATATAACGCGGTGGAAATAAGAGATTTATTCATACACTTCAAAACTGTATCGATACGGAAGTGAATATAACAAACTCGACCGGAATTCGAACCTGGTTCTCTTAATTATCACCTACACCATCCATATCCACACACACACACACACACACACATACATATATATATATATATATATATATATATATATATATAGAGAGAGAGAGAGAGAGAGAGAGAGAAAGAGACAGACAGAGAGAAAGAGACAGACATAAACAGAGAGGAAAGAGAGAGAGTGAGAGAGAGCGAGAGGGGAGATATACGTTAATAAATGCATATCTAAATCGATATACGAGGTACGAGCCAAGAGTTGGTGGAATTTGAGAGGACTGTTCAGTCTGTTTCAATGTCAACTTACCCCGTGCCTCGCCGGATATTTCACACATGAAGGATTTTAATCGTCTGATGATCACTGGAGGCGTGAA